CCTGATGCAGAGAGAGTGTGCCGAGGAAGGCTTCCCCAGGACACGGGGAAGCTTCCGGGCTCACTTTGAGGCTGGACAGACCATGATGACTAGCCGTACAAGAGCTGGCTGAGAGGGGTAGGGAAGCGTGGCTCCAGGCAGAGGATGACCTGGACAGGAAAGCACCGAGAGGGATGTTTAGTACCAAGGCTGGAGCAGCCGTGAGGTGGGGCCAAGATCACGTCGGGCTTTGCATGCAGAGCCAAGAGCCTGAGCTTGACACTGCACAACATGGGGGCCACTGAGGGGCTCACCACACTAAGGTCTGAAACAATGTCCGCGCCAGGCGCTAATCACTGAAATCGAATCCCACTGAGAATCAACTTCAGTTGGATGGATTTTCCATTAGATAAGAGGAGGATGCAATTCAGATCTGAAAATGTTCTACAGCCTTTCTGAAAGATGGACACAGAATCAAGACAAAGTAGATTTTGTTATTTTCAATATAATCAGAGGTTTTTTTTTTTTTTCCTTTCTATCTGTACAAGACACTGGGTAGCAACGTAAATAGATCTTATTTGTATAGAAAATAACTTTATTATTTACATTCATTACCTAAACCCTATAAAGTGGCTTCTATTTTGGTTATTAGACTTTTGATTACGTTTTTATTTTTTCCTCCAAATTGTAGACTCTGGGATTCATGTCTCTGTACACAATGACCAGAGCTACTGTCTAATTTTGAGTTAAACCAATGGAGCTAGACCTTCTGAATTGTAATTGGCAGTAGTGGTGGTCAGTGACATGAGTGGGGTTTTTGCTGTGGCTGTTGTCGTTTTTGGTCTCTGCCAACTACTGCTAACAAGCGCTACCACTGTCTGTTAGGAATCCTACTGATGCACTGACGGCGTCACTCTCTCATACTCACTGACTTGCTGCACACTTGCTCTGCTGAGAGAAGGCTAAGAGGATAAACGGTGAGGGCCCTATTTTTTAAGACACCCTGTGTCTGGATTTCGGATCAATAGGCAGTGCAAACAGAGGTTCGTACAAAGTTCTTGTTGGAGCGGAGACGGACAAGGCACTTTCTCTGCCTAAGGGGATGGAGTAGGGCAAGCTGAGAGGTGAGGAGGATGTTACAATGGAAAATGGGGTCACTGTGTCTAAGCTTCTTAGCGGGACCTGCGAGACCCTGCATTATGTGCAGCATCATCTGTTGCTTTCTCTGATTACCTAATATAACTGATGTCTCTTAGATAATTGCTCTTTCTTATAATTCCACGTATTTACATTAAGTAACAAACAAGGGCAAATACCTACATCAGTGCCGGACATGTTTCTAATCCTTCCTAGCAATACTGAGGTCGCTAGAATTACTGTGCCATTTTACAGGTGGGGGAACTGCCATCTCGACTGTAGTTCAGAGAGGTTAAGTAACTTAACCAAGGTTATCCAGCTGGTAAATGACAGAGCTGGGATATGAATGCTTCCCGGAATACCTTCCCCTATGTGGTTAGGTTATCTCCTCCTGGGCCCCATGCCTCTGCTGGCACCTGTCCCACCTCCAACCACCTGCCTGGCAGACAGGTCTCTCTTCCATGCGCCCGCACTTCTCCTACTGACCCCTTCCTTGCCCCTCTCCCCAGCAGGCTGTTGCGTCTTCAGTGACAGGACTATGTCATCGGCATTGAATTTCCAGTGTCTGTAGCACAGCAGACATTAAGTCAACGTATCTGCATGGATACTGATACTGATTCAAGCCAGAGTATCATGAATATAAGACGATTCAGAACCTAAATACCGTCAAAGAATCTCTCCAGGAAGGAATCTGGTGCAGGGGTGGAACAGACAGAGAGGGGAATACTTATCAATCGCAATGTGTTGATAACGCTCAGGGCTGTGGGAGTCACTTTCAGGGATACAGGTAACATGAAGATTAGCCCCTGCTCTCAAAGAGCCTTTAATCTGATGGGGAAGTCAGTGCTAGTCCAGAGCTGGCTAACAACAAAGCTCGGGATTAAAGCAGATGGTTTAAAATTGGCTCTACCAGTTGCAGGGTGTGAGAGTTTTCTACCTAAGTGACTTCACGTTTTGAAGCTGAAGTGTCTTCCTCTGTAAAATGGAGACCACACTTACCTTCTTGTGGTTGTGAGCATTCAATGAAATCATTTATTGAGAGTGATGAACTCATGCTTGGTCAAAGTGGCAACTTGTAACCAACCTAAGTCACTAAAACGAGTAAGTATAAACTAAGCATGTTACTTCAGAGAGGGCACTGGGCCAAGTCCTGAGGAGTGGGCACGATTTCTGGGGGTGGAGGAACTGGGGCGAGCATGCTTCCATTCCATCCTGAATTACTGCAGTCTAAGTAAGGCCCATGTCTTAAAGATCTTTGCATTCGCGGTGCCTCCTCTGTGTCTAATACAAAACTCATGCTCGGTTCACGTTGTAAAATGAGAAAAGAAACTATTAATCCCAAGGGGGTAGACAAAGGTCAGGGGAAAGATCTGGAACTATGCAATGTGCTTTGAGGGGCGGGAGAAGACTGCTTGCCTACAGCAGAGTCTTCATGTTGAAACGGAAAGCAATGAGGCTTGGCAGCCTACGTGCCAAAAATGGGAAGCCCTTGGAAGCCAAACAGGAGGATTCTTGTCCAATATTATTCCTGGTGGTTCCTGACCTTTCTGAATCACAATCCCTTTTTATAGTTCAATGGAGCTATGGGTTCTTTAAAAAATGAAAATAAACATGACACTGAACAATAATTCCTACGAATTAAGCTTGAAGACCCTTTGGGGGTTTACTCTCTAGGGACCTATCTATAATCTCTCACTTAAGAAACCTGCGTTATTATTCAATATGCTAATCCCCCCTCCAAAATTACTTAATAAGGAGGAAAATAGTGAAAAATTTCAATGTAACACATTGAAAAAATGCGTGATGTGTCACATTCTCTTTCTGTGCAAGAAAAGCCCCCCCTCCACAACAAAAACAAAAACAAAAACAAAAAAAACCCCTCAAAACCAAAAATCTTATTTTGGTCCATGAGAATAAAGAGAACTATTTTCTTCCTAATAGTAAGTTAATTATTTCAGGTTACTTTTGGCTACTGGAGGGGAAAAAAAAACTCAGCTCTTACCCATACATATTAAATATGGGTATTCAACTTGACAATTCAACTTCACATTTACTGTATCACTTTTCAGGTTACAAAGCACTCACAATATTAGCTCACTCAGTTCTTAGTAACAACTACAGGAGCTAAGCATCATTCTCCTCATGCTGATGTCCAAAGGTACATGTCAGGGGCAGAGCTCAAATAAAACTACTTTTAAAGAGGAAGACTCTCTGGAATATCAGGGCCTAAGTAGCGTGTCTGATGGTTTAGAAAAAAAAAAAACAAGAATACCCTGAGACCAAACTAATGATATGTTTCCTTTACAGATCCCTAATTTTTTTTTTTAAATTTATGAAATAATTTTATAAAACACAGGTTCTAGTACTTGTCTTATAAAAGTAATAACTTGTTTTGCAAAATTCAGGAAGGACAGAAAAGTGCATACACAAAATCATACTTTCACAAGCCTAAGATAATTATCATCAAAAATCTGCAGCATACCAGTGTAATTTTTTTTACCTATAAATATATAGAGAGTATACACAGTTTTTAAAAAATAAAATTGGGGTCATATTATACATTAGGCTTGATAAACTGCTTTTTTTCCCTTAATAGTTTGGACATTTTTTTCATGTGATTGACTGGGCTTCTATTTTTACTGAAGAAGGCAATCCAAGTATTAACTGCTGTGACAACGTCCGCCTCTGCCGCCCGTGGCACCCACAAGGCCGGCTGGGTCTGACTTGTTTGTATTCAGGGAGCTTCTGTTCTGACTGGAGGAGTTAATTTGCCATAATCACTAGTGCTGGAAATAGGAACCAGTGTGGGATATTTTCCATGTGACTTTAGATAAGCATTAAATTGTCTTCATCTTCCGTAACATATCACAATAATTGAAACAAAAGGCACTCACCTTTGTTTGCTCCTCGGGCACAACCAGTTCCTCCGACTTCCCAAGATGGCTGACATTTCCTAACAAAAGAAAAGACCTTTTTACTCAAAGAGAAGGAAATCTCTTAAGAAACAAAAATTAAACATTTTACATAATCTACAATTAAAAAAAAAAACTTAAGCCAAATGATTAAAGAATAACTTTATTAAATATTTGTCAGTTTTAAGAAGTGCCCTCAATTACTAACCAAAGAATGTATTACAAACAACTAGTTATGAGGTTTTACATTTGTTTAATAGGGAAAAATTGGCCCCAATTAAACTGACTGAACTAAGGCTTTTTAGATTACTAAAACAAATTAAACTTTTTAAAATGAGAATTTAGGTGATCTTAAAACCTCTCTAAAATGGATAATGAAACTTGCTAAGTTGTAATCTCCCTGGTTTTATTAGTTATATTAAGATAAATTAAGTGAGATTAAAATCTTATTTGATTTATTTACCTTTGACAATGAAGACCGTTTAAGGGTTACACATCCTCAGCCTTGGCGAGTGCGACCTCAATTAGTCAAGTCAGAATGTCTTTAAAAGCTTTGTGCTTATTGCTTCCAGCATGGAGCGAGGTGTTCATTAAGGTACCAAAATTCTCATAAAAAATCCAAAGTTGCACTAGTGAAAAAACGCTCAACAAGATGAAAACTGATCACATCTTTTTCAGAAAATCAGTAGTTATTTTAAAACCAGTTTTTAAACAAGATTTGGTTTTGCGTCGTTTTAACGTGCTACTCAACGCAGCTTAACACCATGTGGACTCTTTAAACAGCATTTAAATCTACGGTGAGTATAGAATGGTACATTTAATTTTATACCATTTTTTAAGTCAGTTGTACAACGTTTAGTGTGACCCTTTTATGACAAGCGTTGTTAAATGAACTCTTTCCCTGTTTACAACTATTTATGAAGGCCTTTTTAAATAAGAGAAACATGAAATTGTTAGCTCACACACACGGAATTTCTTTCAAAAGTTTATTTAGTATCAAGCAAGAGGAGACTTTGCTCAACACTACAGAACATTTCAAGACTTGAGTTACAAAAGAATACCACATTATTTGCACTTGTAATTGGCTTCCCTTTTTACGCATGTTGGCAAGAGAAAAAAAACTAGCATATGGCTGAAAGATAAAATAACTAAATTGCTATGGAAACCTTTAAAATGAAAGGTGAGGCTTATGTTAAAAGGATGGATTAACATATTTAGTAAACCTAGTTTTTTGTTTAACACTAGTTAATCAAAGTTATTTTTTTTCCTTTTGATGACCTATTTTTTCATATACAGACTGGAAATAACAAAATTTTACATGTCTTTTTTTTTTTTTTTCTGCCCAGGTTGATGTTTCCACAAAGTAGTTTTAAAGTTCCATCCATTCAGATTTTAAGCATTTTGATTTATTTAAAAAGGGATTGTTCATAGAAAAACATTACTTTGAACAGTACACAGGACTGGTGGAGACTGGCTATTCAACAACACCAGACAGTACAATCAGTATCTGCCGTAGGGCTGGTCTCTGTAGACACCCTTCGCGGTCCTCGCTGCAGGTGCCTTGTGTCTCGAGTTAGTCCAGTCCTCTTGCCCTAAAATCAGTAAGATGAACCACAATTAGATCATGGCCATGGATCCTGCTGGCTTCATTTTTCAGAATCTAACTTAACCCTGAACAAGTGGTAGATGTCGTATTGAAGACATATATCCCTGATGTACCACACACACACACACACACACACAAAAACAAGGGTATTTACTTAGAGAAAAATTACAAACACAGTGGGAAATGGTCACCCTACTAACAAAAACTATCAGTATGGGAAGAAAAATGATTTTTGTATCTTAAATGGCAACCAACTTGCAAGAACTTTCCTCTCGGTCACTCATTTTAACAAAAGCTCACACGCTCAAACAGCCAACTGAACTGCCTTTTGCTAAATGTTAAGACATTCATGAATGGGAAAGAGAATGGGAACAGGATCGCTCAGATTTCTTTTGACAGCAAAAACAAACACCACACAGATAAAGATCTGTGCAGGCAAAGGCAGACAAACATAACAAGCAACGTGGGGATGGGCAGGGTGGTCACTGGTCTCCTAGGTCCTTCCCCAGACAGAGGGAATGGAAGTCGTGTTCAGGGGAAATGTAGCCTCAACAATACTTCCTGAATACGAAATAAACTTAATGACAGAATGTCAAATTTCACTCATCATAATACTAAATCCATATCAGACAAGTGTACGAATAACAAAAGGTCTTCCATCATCCATTCAGACGTCCTGAAATTAAACACCTGTTCCATCTCAGCACTTCCACTGAGTAATCTACAGGTCTCCAACAACAAACAGTTAACATTTCTGCTGCAACCTACAGCAATTTAAAAGCCATGTGTCCACTGAGACCAATTTAAAAAGGCTGTGAAGGAAAAATACTTAAAATGACCTCTTCTTTTGATACAAACATGCAATCAACGTCATTCCCTCAAGCTAACTTGCATCCATTTAAGTAGACTGCATTCAGCAAACCAAGGTATTTCTCTTAAGTGTTTGTTACAAAAACCAAAACAAAAAAATATCCAAGGTAAGGTCATCACAGCTTGGGGCAGGTGATATAACAAAATGCACTTCAAAAGGAACACCGGAAAATGGTTTTTCACTCATGTTCAGAGAAATGTCAGAACATCCATTAACCAGAATCCTGATTCACTTGCACTGGGTACTAGGCATTTATCAGAGCTTTGCAACTGATTGAAGCTTCCTGTTCTCTGATCTCTTTGTCCTCCGGCAAAGGAGCTTCTTACTATCATTATGCTGCTGCTGCCAATTCTTTTAATTAAACCTGTCCTCCTTCTGCATTCTGAGACTTCGGACATGGATTCCCCAGCATCTCTACCAGCTCCCACTGAATTAAGTGGGGTTTAGCTGTCTCCCCGTAAGCCGGAGAGAGCCTTACATCCCCTCCCTGGCTCAGTGCTTTTGTAACCTTTATGGAAGGACTCCCACCGTAATGTTTTTAAGAGGGTTTGGGATTGGAGATGAATTAAAATATGAAGATGGGGGTGGGAAAATCCTTTGAGAGCTGCAGTCTCAACGGCTTTTTCCTTCACTGTCGAGAAGCAAAGACACTTCAAAAAGACCTGAGCTATCAAGTGTCTGCAGTCTGGCAAACGACTCTATAAATGAGACAATCAGCACATGGCAATCAACCCAAACAGAAAATCTAAGTTGAGAATGTGAATCTACGCAATTTTCTGTGAGTTTTCAGTCCTCTTTAAATATTAAATTTAAATCCTAAAGGAGCTTCTGAAAATAGCTAGATATGCACAGAAGAACTGAAAGGGAAGTTGCTTTTTCAGTCCAAATGTCTTTATGGATTTCTCCTCAATTCTGATCTTGAAGGTGCTTCTATGATCATGCCCCCTGCTCTATTTCTGGTTCATGTTGGCCAGTTACTCACCGTAGGAATCGTATGTCTCTTCACTGAGTCCATGTCCATAATCATAGTAATCAGCACCACTGCATTGAACAAAACAAAAGGCACAAAGAGAAAAAAAAAAAGATGAAAACAGGACAAAACAACTTTACTGTGAGCTTAAAACATATTCAGTGAAGTATTCTAAAACCTAAAGATAACCAATCAAGGGCAGGGCTACACACTGAAAGGAAGAATTTCCACCGAGATGGCAGAGATCTAACACAGAAACTTTAGACCTTGGGAATATCAAAGATTTCTAGCTGCGATATTTAATAAACATGTCTGTCACTTTAGCCACGGCCATCGGCCAATGAGCACGGCGTGAGTGTGTCCGTGTGTCCTGAAAGGGCAGGCACCGCGGCTGTGGACAGGACAGAGAACCACAGGTCTGTCCAACAGAAGGAAGGCTCCTGCCTACCAGAGAACCCGATGCCGTGCGATCTGGTAACAGGGACTAGACCCAGTGTTCCATTTCGTCAGCACTAAGGCATTACTGTTAGGAAGTCGGTGTGATGACTGTGTCGTGACAGGACAGCAGGGAGGCTCCCCACCAGCCGGTCATGGCACTCTGGCAACGTCCGTGAGGATGGAGGCTGAGCATCTTTGCAAAGCACAGGCACGTCTCTGTTCTAATGTATGGCATCCTTGAGGTGGGGGTGGGGGGGGGGGTGGGGAGGGAGCCTGATACCGTGGCCATTCTGCAGATATTGCATATTTGAACAGGCATAATTTTTTATAGGAACAAACCTATGCAAAATCTAGATTACTAAACCATGGCAGATACAGTTAGTTTATGATGCTATTTTGGTAACCAAGGAAGGGCTTCCACTCATCTTCTCAGGCTTTGCGCTTTCCTACTCTACTTAATTTTGTAGGGCAACAATCGTCCTGAATTTGTTACCTTGGATTGTCATGGAAATAAACATTCTCATTATTCCAACCTCATGCAATCAAGTAAGAAGTTCTAATCAAAATGGAAAATGATCCAGCTCAGCTGCTTAACACCTTAGGAAGCTGCAAGATGAGTAATAAAATCCATGGTGTAAGTGTTGCTGAGTGCCAACTGCCGAGATCCCACGGAGTCCTCACAGCAGCCCCCTGCGGGAAGTGGAACTGTCATACCCATTTTAGAGATAAGGATGCTGCGGCAGATCAGAAGGCCAGGACACCAGCCTAAAATCTCACAGAGAACAAACAGGGGACACACTCGTCGGTCAAACCCACACCTGGCTCTCCGCCCATGCTTCCTCTGCCAGGTGAGCAGTACCAGAGACTCATCACTCTGACAGCTGCAGCACAGCATGGCGATCCAAGGAGGAAGTGGTAAGCAAGGGGAAGAGGTTCCTTTTTGCCTCAAGCATGTGCAGGTAGCTCTTTACTCCTGCTCCTCCTTCTGCCAAAAGTGTTCTTTCCTCTCCTTCTAAGCTACCTGCTACTCAGCCTGTAGCCAAAATACTACCTCCTCAGAGAACCTCCCTGATTTCCCAGAGTTAGGCTGGCTCCCCAGGCCACTTTCCTTGCCCCCACTCCCCCCATCCCCCCGCCACCGGCTCCCAAGACCTCACTCTGCATGGACGGAGTGAGTCCACAGAGGAGGCACGCCTCCACCACTGGCTGCGTCCCATGGCTTCCCGAGAATGCAATGCTAGAGCAGTTCTGAGCCACCAACCAGGAGGGTGAAGCTGAGGAAGGGGTGCGGAGAAGGGGGCGGAGAAGGGGGTAGCAGCAGGGGCCTTCCAGGCAGAGCAAACTGCACATGTAAGGCACAGATGTATGAAACAGCCTGAGCAATTTGCGTGTCTACAAGTACCTCCATCACACAGAGTTAATAAGCGCTGATAAAATGCCGAGACCAGAATATTCCTCAGTATAAAATGCTTCCTCCATGTGAAAATATAGGTCAGATCTTGTTATCCTGGTTTAATCACATCCTCACTAGTTAATTAAACACAGCGTAACATACTGGTTATGATGGGAGCTCTCCGGCATGGAGACAGAACAGAAGCTCTCTGGAATGTGCTGTGTTAAGCTCCACAGCTTTTTAAATGTTGCCCAGGAACAGAATAGTCACTCCTACAGCTGACCTATTATACCAAGGGCAACATGCAATTTTTCTAAGGAGGCACATGGAGCTACAGAGTTTTATAAAAAGGTCTTCAGACTGAGAGCTGATATTCCTAGAGGACATGGGAGAAAGGCAGGCAGTGTGAGAGCAAGGGCACTCTGCTCAGTGAGACCCCTTCATCACGGAGTCTCCATGCGCATGACTGCGCTTAATCTCCCTCAAATCACTATCCTTGAAGATGGAGCAGCTGAGGCTCAGGGAGGCTGAGCCACCTGCCCAGAGTCACAAAGCTCAGAAGGGACAGCACCCACGCTCAAAGCTCAGGATGCCACCATCACCATGTGCTGAAGACCTATACCAGCGGTGGACTCTGCTCACCGTGGGGCAGCCTTACAGGGGCGGGGGGGGGGGGGTTCCCTGTTCACTCTGACCTGTTCTGTCACTCTTCTGGAATGTCTGACTTGCCCTCCCCCCCCTTCCGCCCCAGGGCTTCCAGGATCCCTCCTCATGCTCAGAAATGTACGGATCCACACGGAACTCACTGCCATGTGATCATGGTTAATTATCACTGCCTTACTTCTCTGTCTGGTCTCAAATTCCCCCTCTCCCTTTCAATAGCCCTAATTTTCTCTCGAGGCAGCAAATTTATCTATGATGAGAAGGAAACGGGAGGGACTAGCGGAAAAAAGGATCAAAGAAACATTCATATTAAAAAACAAAAATCCAGCAGCAAGTGATCTAAGAAGTAATATTGCTTTCGTACCTCTTAAGGTTTTACAGATTTAAATATGAGAACTGCCTTTAAAGTAGAATTATTTTTCTTTCATCTTGAGGACAGAACTTTAGAAACTAATCTCTTGATGAAATGTCAGTGTTAAATACTGGTCAAGACACCTGAGTCTGAACTGGGGCCTCCACCTGCCGGGCTCATTGGGAGAACCGACCCACCAGCTGTCTTTGTGCTCCATCCGTCAAACCACGGGCAGGTCTGACATTCTTGATGGCTCACACACAGCATTTGGCCACAAAGTAGTCAAAACAACTTCTCATTTTGTTGAAAATAAATTGGCTAATGTTTCATAGAAACTCAGCACTAAATTAAATGAACCTCAGTCCTCTTTCCAAAGGTCAGAAGTTACAGCATAATGGCTCCTTAGACAAATAAAACCCTGATGTTCTTGAGAATTTTGTCTGTTGCACAGAGTGAGTTACGTCTTCATAGGCCTAAAAGAATTTCCTTTACAGAGACAGGTCCCCACTGTGTAACTCGAAGCTGTAAATGGCAGGCACTGAAGCTGACCGCCAGAGAGGCCAAACCATTACTTTTGACCCAACCAAGTCTTTATTAAACGGACTGAACAGTAATACACATCAGTATAGACTGGACATTTGTCTGTGAAGTGCCTTAAAACCGTTCAGCATAAAAAAAAAAAAAAATCGGGTGAAGACTATTTCCAGTGAACAGGAGGGTAAGAGGGAGCATAATTTGGCCCAGCAACAGTTTGGTGGTAAGACAATCTTGGTTTTGACAAGTGAAAACTTCAAGCTGACATTTGCTATCATTTCATCCAGTTTCTGACTATTTATTGCAAGACTGTCATCGAGCCAGGAAGCCGGGAGCAGCTGAGCCCCATTCCCAGACCTGTCAGTTCCACTGGATTGCTCTGCCAGCACTTCAGCTCGTGCCCCTCAAATGTCTATTAACCAAAGATGTGTCCTATTTCCCAAGGATAAACCAAAAACCCAACACACGACGAAAGGGAAAAGATACAAAAAATCTTCACTTATGCATACATTATAATCTAATATTAACAAAAGGTAAGAAAACACATTAGGCCAAATAGGCCTCTGCTCCATCAGAAGGGATCCGGGGAAGCTGGTCGCTGAACGGATCAAGAGCGGGCTGCTCGGGCTGCTACAAAAGCGACGTCTGCCCGGACCTTTTATTCCACCCCATTTCCGTGGTCGAAGGAAGTGCAAGGATGCAGCCTAACTCCTGGCTTTCCTGGAGGTTCTTGGTTCCATCAACCAGAGTCAAGAAATAGACCCCCACACCGAGAGACAACACAGGGGTCAGGGAGCAAACTGTGGCCCTGGGAGCAAGTCCACCGCTCGCTAGACCTTCTACTCTCCACTGACAGGGGTCCGAGAGGAGGACAGAAAGTCTGAGTCCCCATATCACCCTGTCCCTGTGGGATCAAGAAGGCAATCCCGACATTTACCTGTCCCCTGCCCTTTCAACCTCTTTAAGACTCTCCACTAATTTCTACTTTAAAGTCACTGAAACCACTCTCACTAGGCCCCTTCCTTGTATTTATGTCAGCTCAGCAAGCTCTAGACCACTAGGCTGCTCTTACCCCCAGGACTCATGAAGTCCTTCCCACTCGCTGCTGTCCAACCTCATCTCCTACCCAACCGCGCCAACCTTTCACTGTGCCCCCTGGGATTGACGGCCCACAACTGGTAAAACCCCTGATATAGTCAGAGTTTCCAGTTTGTTCAGGGCAGAAAAGTTGTGCTGTCATTCTTTTCGCCAGCCCTTCCCTTTGCCTAGAATGCTCTTAGCTCCAGATACCTGCGTGGCTAACTTCACCTTTCTCAGGGTTTTGCTCAAATGACGCCACCTCAACAAGGTCCACTCAGATTATGATCGCAGTCCCCTGCTCTGACAACCCTCATCCACAGTACTCTGTGCATGTACTCTATTTTGTTCTACAGCACTTGTCACTTCCTAACATATATTATACTTACTATTTCCTCGCAGTACAATGAGAATATATATGCTCTACAGGGAGGGACTTGGGGCTGTTTTATTCAATGACATACCTCAAGCCCCTTTAGAACAATACCTAGTACAAGGCAGACACTCAGTAAAATTTGTTAAATACATTGACTTAATTACAACAAAAATTATTGAAAAATTATGTGCCAAGGTAATACAGGAAGTTTGACAAAGTGTTATTAGTGAATAAAGGT